AAAAAAAAATAGAAAAAATGGCCAACCTTTTAATACTACACGGATCTTTTTAAAATAAACACAGTAACCCAAGTATTCCAAACTTTATAATGAAGGCAAATCTCTGTATTGTCCAGAACGACGTTAGAAGTGTCTAAGCACACGAGGAAGATTTAAGAAATAGTATACACTAATTAACGCCACAGTAAGAAAGAGATCATATCAATGTCCTGTGCGTTTTTTTAGTATCCAGTCTTGCCACATTAGTTTTACAGAATTGCATAGCAATTATGACTATGTAAAACTTTTTTTCTTCAGATACAAGGATGTTCTCAGTTTCAGTCATGTCATTCCAAATAATGCAATGCTAAAAACATTCTTCATCAAAACATGTACAGGATGTCACTCAGAGCTGTGCAAGAAACAAAGAAACATTTTGTGCATTGTATTTCTTTTGATCAAACCTGGTGAGGCAGTCCAGAAAGGTATGTTACTTTGTGAATAGCTTCATTCTGAGTACCTGTTCAAAACTCCCTGAAGCTGAATTACTGGGAATGGGGAAACGCCTACACTGTGAATTCTGCTCCTTCTACCCAACACATCCAGCACAGGCTTACTCTGTGTAAAAAAAACGTCTGCGTTAAATGTGAAAAGTGCTTGTGTAGCCTAAGAATAAAACTTACTGGGGCAACTTTTAAAAAGAAAATTTTAATAAACCGTCATGCCTGTAATAGCGTAGTGTAAGAGTATTAACTGTGTGCCGAGTGAAGATATTAACAGTGACTCATAAATTAATTACCTGTTAATAAATGTCTAACTATGGCAAATAGCTGACTGCGGAGTATTACATGATGTTAGAAAAACATCAATATTGTGAATATATTTTGGGTGCACTGAATTCCAACCAAAAGTTTTTAGTTGGTCTGCTGAATTAGACTGCAGCTCAGGACTGTGACCTTGATTAGATGAAGAGGTTATTGAAAATGGATGGATGATGTTGTTAATTGTTACTGATTTCTTTTTTTATTTCAGGGGATCATTTTTGCTTGATAAGATTTCACTTTTGCATTCGCTGGTGACCATCATGGGAAGCAAGACTCTTGCAGCTCCTGTTCCTATCCATCCTTCTTTACAACTGGCCAATTACTCTCTTCTGCAAGCTTCCAATGGTTTTCAGATTCCTTCTGACCACATTCCAAATATCTATGGCTTTAGTGCCCTTCATGCTGTCCATCTTCACCAGTGGACCCTGGGATACCCTCCCATGGCCTTGCCTCGCTCTACTTTCTCCAAACTCCCTGGCCTAGTGGATGGCAGGTTCCAGCTCCCCGCAATTCCAATCTTTCCCCACATTGTCCAGCCAAAGCAAGACATCACCAATGCACCAGTCAAGAACAAGCCGAGATTTGATTTTGCTAACCTGGCCGTGGCTGCCACCCAGGAAGACCACTTGAAGGCAGAGGATCTGAGTTCAGCTCCCGCCATTGGTTCTCTTCTAGACGTCACCAAGTTGTCTCCCGAGAGAAAGCCAAGCAGAGGCAGGCTACCATCAAAAACCAAGAAAGAGTTTGTGTGTAAATTCTGTGGGAGGCACTTTACAAAGTCATACAATCTCCTAATTCATGAAAGAACCCATACAGATGAAAGACCGTATACCTGTGACATATGCCATAAAGCTTTCAGGAGGCAAGATCATCTGAGAGATCACAGGTAATTGTCCATTATATATGTATTTCTTTTTCATTCCTGTCTTAAACACAAAGTAAAATAATTTAGGCATATGCCTATATTTTTCTTTCTTTCAGGCCACGTTAAACAATCCACTGAATTGTAGAATTCACTAAATATGTGAATCACATGCTTTTTTATATATTCATCAAATTTAATTCTTGTAATTTCTTCCTGTTGTGTGCAAATTGTCAAGACAGGAGATGTTTTAACCTCAACACATTTTTAAAAACATTCTTCATCAAGACATGCATAACAGACTGAACCACCGAAGTTCTCTGACTTTGTTTTCCCTTTCATTTTCTTTCAGGTATATTCATTCCAAAGAAAAGCCTTTCAAATGTCAAGAATGTGGGAAAGGGTTTTGTCAGTCCAGGACACTGGCTGTCCACAAAACACTGCACATGCAGGTCAAGGAGCTAAAACCTTCCAAGATAAAGTGCTAGAAGGGACATCTGAAGACTTGGGGAAAAGAAGTGATTAGGGTGCACTGGAAAAAATGAGAAAGTTGTGAGGACATCATAAAAATCCAGGGAAAGAGACGGGGGTGCCTTGTTATTTCAGGACATCTTATCTACAACTAACCTGCAAAAGAAAGAAAGGGTAATTGCACCAATACCACAGAAGAAAAAACAACAACTGGGAAATCTGCCTTTTCTGGGGAAAAAAAATCTTGTCTTGATGAGACTTCTGTTGAACAGGGTTATAAATCTTGGACTTAAATTACTCCGAGCCTTAATGAAAGGAACACCTCTGACCTAACTACAGGATTTTGTTAAGGCTTCGTATCTTAACTTTTAAGGGCACAAGGACTTCATGAACCATATCAGGTCTGTGTAATGGACTGCAACTGTAAATGACCAAATGAATAAATCTCTGGAATGTGATCTTTCTCATCCATCAGTTTCATGGACAGTGAACTCAAAGTTACACAGAACCCTTGTCCTCCAGTTGAAACTTTGCAAGTGACTTGAAAGAAACACAATATGCCATGCAGTTTTTCATTTTTAACTCATAACGCTAGGGCAGCATACCTGCTTTCTGTTATGTTAAAGGCTACATTCCAATGATATTGTACATAATGTTATATATATGTAAATGTTATTTGGCACTTTACTCTGGTTATTGTTTATTTACATATATCACTGGATTCCTTAAACTTATTTTTAAAATAAATAGTCATTTTCTAAACAAATGTGTTCTGTGGTTCATAGAATAATCCAAAATAACAACTTTACAACCGAAATCTATTTCAGTAAATCTTGGTATAACTAACTCAAGGGAATAAATCGAATTATTAACTTTCTTGTGTAAATAGATATACTGTATAGGACTTTTAAGCAAATGCCTCCATTGGAAATAGAATACCCCATTTCCTCTTAAAACCAGATTCCTTCCAATTTGTCTTAAGAGCTTAGTAATTAAACTGTCACAATTTATTTTTTCACTATTACTTACATAAATTTACTTAGCGACTAAAAATGTTTATTATCTAAATGAATCCAATGTCTCTCTTAAAATACAAGATGCAGTGTGAGGGTGTGTTATCTTCAGGAGTGAGATACAAGAGTTAGATCCCAGGCATACTGTAACTTTGTAAAGGACGTGGAGAAAGTACTTGTACCTTTGAGAAGAAAAATATGTTTTTAAGGAATTAAAAAATACTTAATCAGAATAAAAAAAAATAAGATGTTAAATGCACTAGGGGGAAAAGGTAACATTCCTCCATTGTTGAATTTAGTAATTACCTTAAATATAAGTAATGTTTAATTTTTCTGTGTTCAGCACTGTAAATCCATTACCAAACAAACACTTTCATAAACGAATCTCTTTGTACTAATTACAGAACCTTTTACTTTCACCAAATGTGTGAGATCAGACATGTTTATTCAAAGATAAAAAGAACAGATAGATGCAGTGGGAGACATTTACACATGACTAGACCTTTCCCCTTTGAAGTGCAGAGTGTCTGAAGAGCTCCAAAGCTGCCACACATTGACATCAGCTAAGAACAGAACGCTGAGAACAAGCAAATGACAACAGTGAAATTTGACTACAAAATTGCACCTCATTTCAAGAAATTTAATCCCTTAATGTCTTTGTGAAACTGTCCCTGGAAAAAAAGCATAAAACATAGGAAGAGTAAAATCTGTTCGTATTCCAGATGGGCATTAACAGAAGTACTCTTTATTGTAGCATGAAATAATAAATCAAGATGACAGAAATCTCATGGCCACAAACATTAGTTGCATACATATAAAAGTTAAATAGTGCATTTTTACAAAACAATTTCATAATTTTCAAAACACCTTTATAAAAGGTAAATTTTAGTTTTTTTTAAAGATTGTTTTGCTGGGATGAAACACTATTTCAAAAAAGAATGCATGCATTTACAAATCCTACCTATTATTGCTGGTGGGAATAAATAGACACACATTATTTTTGCTTTGGCCCAGAATAAATATAGTAATTCCCGTGCAAACAAACATTATTTTCCCTACGTGATATGTATTCATTGTATGACACTGTTTTGGCATATTTCTTTCTGAATCAATGGAATGCCTCTGGTTGTGACGAAAAGGATAACTGAATCATGAAACAGCAGAAAATACCAGCTGGCTGTTCCGCTACGCGTTTCATTTTCAAATGTGAAAGGATAAGCTTCACATTAATTAAGGTCTGGTGGCTAAACCTCTCACTGTCTAGAGTGTTGGAAATACATTTTAACAGACTTTAACCACAAATCCCATTGAGCTCCACAACTGATTTCTTTGTAATTTGTAATTCGTCCCAGGCAAACACTACTAGAGTGACTGTGAAAATTCAAAGAAACTTGCTAAAAGATCAGTGCTATCACTGAATGAAGAACCACCTGCAGCGAGCATGCTTATGGAACATCTTGAACGCCACAGGGTTTTTTTTCTCTCATAATTTTCTCATCATAATTTGTTGTTATGATGAAGATTTAAAGTGTCTTGGGATTCCTTAATGCCATATACATTATTGTGTTTATGTCAAGTAATCACTCTCTAGGAAAGAAAATAGATGAATGGATTTACAATTTGACTTGCAATAAGAACCAACTATATTAATCTGATTTATTTGACCTCACTAACAGATTTCTGAGAATGGATTTCAAAATAAAAGAAGAATATCAGGTTGAGTCTGGCATCTATTAAAAACTGATTTAATTACATTGAAGAATGGTGACATTAATGGACATTTTCCAAAAAGGCTTCTTCTAAATCAAGAGTTTGCGTTAAGCATACTTTATAATGCATGACCTTGTGGTGACACTGATTAGATGTTACCTCATGGTTAAAAATGAGGCATAGCGAAAAAAAAATTCACATAAACAAAAACATTTTCATGTCATGGAACATAAAAGCAACTTTTAAAGGGTAGGTGATGTGCTTTCTTTTGGTAATGTGAGTCAGAGAATGACAGTACATGAGCCGTGGACTGGTCCTGTTAAGCAAATAAAAATAATAATCTCCTTTTATACTCACATTTAAGAAAACATTCTTCAACTGCAGATTCATTTCTTCTTTCAAGGAAAGTTTCTAATACTTGAGATCCGGAGATTAATTAGCTACTTGTGACTAGTTGGGCTAGGACTGGCTAAATGACTTCCTCTCATCTGCAACTTTTCTTAAATTCCAATAAACAAAAAAAAGTGTTATGTTCCAGAAGCATTCTGCAGTGCATTGTTATGTAAATATGAATGGTTAAACATTTAATAAGACCATTTGTGGGAATTGAGTTCAAGCTACCCAGCCATGTTGTTGAAGCTGATATCCTGATTTCTTACAAGAAATGGTTGGATGAGGTCCTTGGATAAATACACTAACAACTAATAAATTACTAACTACCTAACAGATTAGATGGGCCAAAGTTATGCTTTAAAAATATATTTACAATACATTATAAACTCAGGAAGATTGTTAATAGTTAACCATTTTCTAATGAAAATATGCTTTATTTATTTTCACTGTGGTCAGAAATCTCAATACCGTGTCACACAAAATGCTCAGTCACACGCTGACCACCTACTGCACATTCTGAAAAGCATAAAGAAAATGTTATTGATTCCAGCACTCATGTGAAGAGATTCTAACACCCCTTATAGAGAACATGAAAACAGAAGACAGTGTTAAATGCTGACCAGTAAAAAAGAAGAAATACAATGTTTCAGCTGTGTTTTCTTCCAGTGTGTGACACCTCTCTGATTAATAAGCCATCTCTGCATTCACACTTGAAGAAGGCTCAACAGCCAAAATATCTTATTTCGAAAAATACCAGTGAAGCTAACTTTTACTGGTGTTTTTGCACCAAACACACACTGACACAGTTTCCCACTTGAACCTATATAGAGGACATGTTGTAGCTGCATCCAGAGTACAGATGTACATAGATTTTCAGTATCTCTATTATCATGTTTTGTCCATTTTAAACTCTAATGAGAAAATAAATTATTCTTTTACACAGATATTTCTATGAAAGATGACAATGTGTGCATGTTTACTCACAGAAGTCAATGATTTTTTCATCAGGGTGAATATGTTATAGAGATATGTTATTTAATCTTCTTAAATTGCATCATCATAATGAGCACAACTCTACTTATGAATCTTTAAAACAGTTCTGCAGTTCAGCTGGTAGCTGGTATGGGTTGGAGAATGACAGTTTTGAACTGGAAAACCTGAGTTTATGTGTGGTAGGTCATCATGTATTTGAGACAGCTAATGGGTATTTTGTTCTAGAGTCAATGGGGATCAATAGAATTTTTCTATTGTATGTCACTGTTTTGGGACACACTGTGGGAACTACATTACAAGGGAAGTTTATGAGAGGCTGTAAAATTTAAACAGTCAAAAAGGCTGACTTATTTAGATTGTTCTAAGGAGTTCATGCACTTGGGGAAGTCCCTAAACTGTGTTTGGAGCTATTCTGAGAGTTTAAAGATATTTATGGCGACATCACTCAAACGAATTCCAACTCTCCATGTCTAAAAATATAGCAAGTTTAGAGCTTTCCTGGACTGTGTATATCAAGCATTTGGTGAAGGGCCTATGACAGTAGTTCAAATCTCAGGTCCGACTCTATACGTCACACTGGTGCCATCAGTTGGGTCAATTAAACTGACACCCACCCAATCACAAAGCTGCTGTAGAAGATGGAGCACAGAACATCCCATAGTGTAAAACGAGGTTATTAGATTTAATGTCACTCCTTAGGTCACTCAAGAACATTTTATTTCCCTCCAATAGGGACCTAGTCTTTAGGTATAATGAGTGTGTGACTTTTGTTTAAACTGTGCATACAGTATCAAACACTTGTATGTCCCATACATGCTACACTAGCAATTACACTCATTTTTGCTTTATAGAGAGAGTCTCGATATTTCTACAGATCTTTGCTTACTTACATTAATGGCATAACACCTCAATTAAAAAATGTAAGTATACTTTTTTTCATATTGTGATCTCGGCTCTGTGATATGGTACATTCCCGACTTCTGAAAACATCCTAATCTGTATTGAAAAAAAAAAGTAAAAAGAGTAGAAACAGCTCCACTGTACTGACAAGAAGTCATATTGAAAAACATCTCACAATGTCTAGCGTTCTAGCCTTGTATGACCTTCTTACCCTCAGCATGGGTTTGTAAGTGCTTGTATTACATGGAACTATAACCACATTGACATGAGTAAATATTGTATGAAGTGTGCTATGAGTTTATGTCTCCTTAGCAGCATCTTAGGTTTAAACGAGTTAAACAAGTTATGATTTATTTTGCTGTCTAAGCAAAGAGCAACAAAAGGAAAACATAATTGTGAAAAAAAAACTTTTCATCGACCTTCCGCAGAAAGGTCTTGTCTGCATTGCTTTTTTTTTCTCAGCCTCTTTTGAGCTTTGGCTATAGCATTGCTGATAAATGAGCATGACATCAGCAACAACAGTTTATATGTGTCGCTCTCGTAGAGAGGAAACATGGATTCTGCTGCTTACTGAAAACAATGTGGGGTTTTATCAAATTGGTAAATGACGCTCACAGTTCTCACTCTTAAAATATTTGAACTCTGCATGTAGCTTCTTCCAAACACAAGCTGGGCAAAACAGATGTGGTTGTGCAGATTACGGTTTT